TATCTGTTTCACATGATTAGATTAAGTAATTAGTCTATTTATTCTTTAATTAAAAGGCAAAAACTTACTAATAATTTGTTGATTCGAGTGGAAGAAATTCAATTTTCTTTAAATAAAATCTTGAATTTGAGTCTTGTAAATAGAAAAACAAACGTTAGGAGAGCTTTTCCCTTAATAAAATTCGATGCGGTTTAATTTCAAATTAATCGAGAACTAAGGTAATTACTGTATACATGAGGTTAATAAAAAAAAGCAAATACCCTTCTTAGGTCCTTAAACTTATCTCAAAATAGAATTTAAAGCCCTAAACTAAAAACAAGCAGAAAACTATTTAATTCCACTAATGACCTAATAAGCTTTTCTCACAAATAGGGCAAATGGTATTTCATATCACTTTCAAAGCATGAATACTTATGAATGACAAAGGTTTATTTGCATTTTTAGTGGAGTTAAAGGGCTTATTTGCTTCATTTTTAATTTAAGAGCTTAACTGTTATTTTATGATAACTTTGAGGGTTTGAGAAGGGTTTTCCTTAATAAAAACAATAGCTAAGTTTAATGTTCGACTTTCCGAGAATTCATTTTCCAATCCCCAATGATATCGCAGAAATATTTATAAAGAAATTAAAAATAAGAGAAGTACAAAGAAAGTTAAAAAGTTGTTTCTTTTAACATATGTTGAAAAGTAATTATTATATTTTTTTATAGTAATTAGTAGGGTTAATACCAACTATCATCCCTCTGCCATCAAAAATAGTTCAACGTAAACTTTTTACTTTCATTTCACCTCGTGTCGTCTCTTTACTATGAATTGACTACACATGTCGTCCTCCTACTATTGGAAATGTACCAATGTCGTCCCTCCCTCCAAGTTCCGTCCAATTTTGGGTTAACGGACAATTTGATGAGCCGTTAACCATTAATCCGTCAGACATCCCAACCCTTTTTTATTATTTTGTTTACAGCTGGGCTTTGGTGGACCCCACACGCCACATCAGATCTTCTTTAATGCTGTGTTGTCATCTTATCTTTAGGTGATTGCTCCTTGAAGCATTGTAAAATCTCAAAGAATGTAGTCAGCTTCATTGCAGTAACACAAGAAACATATTGTTCAATTCGGCAAATCATTCCTTGCAACCAGCCTTTTACCTATGTAAAATTTTTTAGCAAATCTATGAATCTAAGATACTTTTCTATGCGAAATGGTTTCACCGATTTTTACCAAAAAAAGAAAAAAGGAGATTCATGTTTTCTAGGCCAGTTTATATAATAAAAGTGCAAATTAAGCACCGAATTATTAAAATGTTATTAATAAAATAGTATAAAGAAAAGTTTTATTAAGAATATCTTAGTAAGTATATAGGTTAGATTGCATATTTACTGTACAATCTAACTAAAAAAACACTCTTTTTCAAAAAATAAAAATATTGTAATTTTTAAGAACTTTAAACTTAGATTAATTTAAATAGTTCATGCTAGTTCACGGTATAGTATCTTTCAAAAACTCATAATTTTTTATAAAAATTTTTGGTTAGGAAAAGTCAGAGTAAATTTGTTTACTTTTTCCCCAATGCCAATGTACTGCACAATATATTTTAATAAAATTTAAAATTTATTTATTTTTCCTCAGGGAATATTTGAGGATATATACATGTTTTTTTAAAACAAAAATATACATTCATGTAAAAGGAATTGTACTTTTTTTGGCTTTTTCGCTAAGATCAAAGTGCAATATCTCTTCATATTAATTTTATGTAAAAGGAATTTTTAATTTGGATTGACAACAGAATTTTCAGTTCAAATTAAAAATTACACTTTTACTAAAGTGTAAGTTTAATTAGGGAAAATAAAAATAAAGAATATTTTTTTGACCATTTATGTTACACTGAAATATGAAATAAAAATTATTGATTTAAAAAAAAACCCCTTAATAAAAAGTTTATAGATAATATTATTGTCATATTTTTAATTATTAATATTATATTATTTTTTATTTTAATTAATTATTATATTTTTTAATTTATTAAAAAATAAAAAATATAAATTTTTGAAAAAAAATAAAAATATAATAAATAATCAAATTAAAAAGTTATATCATTAATTATTTAAGCTGTGGGAATATTCCACCCCCAAAGTTTATGTTTATCTAATAATTAATACAATGTAATCCATTATCATTTAATTAGATTACATTATACTTTTTCAATAAAAGTAAATAACTACAATAATTAAAAAAAATTCAAAACGCATCACTTGGGTGAAACGAAGAGAACTACGAGCCTAAAATCCTTGCTTTTTGACCTTGAGAAAGGCTTCTACTTTAGTTCTCTTTCTTGCGTAAGTTTAGTTTCACGTTGAAGTAGAATGAGTCCCTCTAGGGAACCACTAGCAGAAGCCATAGATGACAATCCAGACTTGAAGACCAAAAAAGAAAGGGAACAAAAAGAAGCGAATCTGAATCAAAAGCCACAAGAAATTGACGAAATTGAACTCAAAGAGACTAAGAAAGATAAGAAAAAGCGAAAGAAAGACAAGGAACGGAACGAAGCCACTGAAAGTGAAACCCATGAAGATGAGCACAAAGCAAGTGGCGAAATTGGGGAAAGAACTGAAGAGCATAAGAAAAAGAAAAAGCAGAAGGAAAATGAGAAAAACAAAGAACCGAGTGAAACCCACAAAATGAAGCAAGAATTAGCTCAGACTGGAGATGAAATGGGGTTGAAGGGGACTCGAAACCCTGAGTATCTCTCCACGACATTGCCAACGCCCAAATTTCTCGAATATGCATAGTGATTTTGGTGATTTTGCTTGATTGTTGATGGTGTTAATGGATTTGTTCTAGGGTTTCTCAGAAAAGGGCAAATGAGTTCGAAGAGAAGAAAGAAACTAGGGGTTTTTGAGGCTGGCACAGTGCCCGTGATGACTTTAAAGGAGATCTGATGTGGCTCTGCGGGGTCCACCAACGCCCAGCTGTAAGAAAAATAATAAAAAAGGGGTTCAATGTCTGACGGATTAATGGTTAATAACGACTCATCAAATTGTCCGTTAACCCAAAATTGGACGGAACTTGGACGGAGGGACGACATTGATACAGTTTCCAATAGTAGGAGGACGACATGTGTAGTCAATTCATAGTAGAGGGATGACATGAGGCGACATGAAAGTAGAAGGTTTAAATTGAACTATTTTTTATGGTAGAGGGACGATAGTTGACATTAACCCGTAATTAGTAAGGTAGAATTTATGTATATATAAATTTTTATATTATATTTATATAAAATTTTAATTAATTATTTTTTATTCTAGTAATTAAAATTTATTTTTTTATTATATTATTAAAAATAATTATTTTTTACTTAAAAATATGATAAATTTTAATTGTTAAAAAGTAAAAAAAAATGAGTAATTAAAATTTTATGGGGGTAAAAAGTATAAAACTTATGTATATAGATGTATCCTTACTTTTAATTTACATTAAAAAATAAAAATTAATATTTATTTAAATAATTATTTAATTAAAATAATTTATAATGATAAGATAAATAATAACTTTTATAATTTTTAATATTAATCAATATAAAAAATATAATAATTATATGTTAAGCGATACAACTTTAAAAAATTCATAAAAATAAACTGTATATCTTCGCTTTGTCTTTGATTTGCAGGGGCAATAATTGCAGGCAATAATTGTTTTTTCATTATAAATATAAGAGATTATCTACTATATACCTTATAATATGTTTATCACATTATTATTATTAATTTATCTAAAAAATTATGAAATTAAATTTTATTTTAAAAATTAATATTATATAAAATATTTTAATTAAATAATTCATTAAATTAAATTAAATTTTTTTTATATAAATTAATAATAAAAAATATAATAAATATATCCTTCCTAAACTCTGCTCGTAAACAACTTCCAACCAGTGACAGAACTTGAAGAAAATTTTAGTTGTTAATTAATTAAAACAAATTTTGGAGGACAAATGAATCAATTACCCGTTACATTTTGATGATTTTGAATTTTTTTGTTGAAATTCCGTACCTATTTTCAACAGTAAGCCTCCAATACTGCATTCATTTCTTAAACAACGGCTTAAAAATCTAGAGAGAATTTACTTCCCCTTTTCCTGAACCTTTTCTCCATCCAAGTTATATGGATACTAAAATAAGAAAAAGTGGTTTATAGCTTTTTAAATATATTTTAAAAAATTTATTTAAAAGTTATTCTTTAAATATTAATTAAAAAATAAGCATTAAATTAAAAATTTTATTTTTACAAATTAAGTATGATAATTTTTAAATTAATTCAATAAGTCTAACTATTTTATTTATTACATAAAATTTAACACAGTTAAATATATATCAAAGAGTATAATTTTTTTAATAAAAAAATTATAAATTTTAAATCAATATAAAAATTAACATATATGATTTATATAATTAAAACTTTAAATATAACTATTAATTTTCAAAAAATATTAATTAAAATATAAAATTTTAAATAAATCCTCTAAAAAATTTTTTAGAAAAAGTATCTACACCATATTAACCCTATAAAAATAATTCTGTCTGATTAATTAGTTCATATATGTTGGATTAACTTCATCAGGAGAGATAAGTGATGATTATAATTTTTTCTCTTTAATAACTCAAGGATAATTTGGGTTGGGAAAGGAATTCAAAATGTTTAGTACGGAAAAGTGTGTATTCCTTAAATAAATTATAAAAATAAAAAAATAATGATTAATATATATTTTTATTTTATTACATATATATATTAATAAATTATTATTTTTATAAAATTAGAGTGCAATGCAAAAAAAATTTTAATGGTAAATTTAATAATCAAATTGATGAATATTGATAAATATATAAAATTAAAAAAT